TGAGTTTGAAACCCAAAAAAAAAAAAAAAAAAAAAAGAAAAAAGGGTTCATATGCAAGCTTAGCTTCTGATATTTCACAAAGTTGAATAATGAAACAAAATGTCTTGTGCAGAGTTAATGTGATTAAATGAGATACTTGATTGTTTTCACTTTAGAGAGGTTTTAATATCTTAAAAAGGGTGTGATTGTCAAGACGACATACAAGCGTCTAAAGAAGCAGAGGAGAAATTTGAGTGCAGGCTAGTTTGACAGCTTTAACCACTTGGATATACTAGACACTTAGGAAGCTTGAATTGTTCTGTCAGTTTCCATGTGAATATAAATCAATTTTTAACTTTTCATGTATTACAGTGATGAACACGATGCCATCATTTAAGGAAATCCAAGAACCAAGGAAAGAAGACTAATACAACTTTTTAATTTTGGTTTATTTTAAAACAATATTCTCTTAAAAGTAGTATAAATGGGCCATGTACATGATGTATTGCATAAATATGTGAAGATTCCTCATTACTAAAGGTAAATTACTAAAGGTAAAAATGTCAAACATTTAAATGAATATTTGAAGCTTACAAATAATTTATACAATGATTATATTAACATTTGGCAGATACATCATAGTAAGACAACTATTGTCTCATGTTTTTTTGGCATTGGTCACACAGGACCAGTAACTGAAACATATCACTGAAGGACAGGATGGCATCTGTGTTCACAATTAAGGAGGTCAGTACAGCACTCAGGATTTTGAGTCTTTGTTGCTCACACAAAGAACTTCAGTGCTTTTCAGAGCTGAATATGCCCTAATTACTAATGCCATAAGCAGAAATTACACAATTGAGTAAACTAGGTCTGAAGCATAATTTCAGAAATTATCCATTTTATATTTTAAGTGTTGTATTTGGTCTAGAAATAGCATACACACTCTCCATGTATTCTAAATGAACCCAAAGCAGTGATGTGCTTTGCTGTACTAGAGACCCAGTTGAGCATTAAAAAAACTTATAATTTTTATTAATAACTTCTTTAAAGATTTTAATGTTAGTTGATAAAATTTTCTTTCTTTATATAATTTAGGCAAACTGCAATGTTAAAAATGATATAAGGATTCACCTTTAAGACTGGCATAGGAAAAAACTAGATATTAGAGTATTTGCTACTGGAAATTGCTTTTATTTCCTATTCACTTGTTCATTTTATATGTAGTGATTATTTTTAAAGAAATGTAGAGCTGCTTTCGATATCTGGAAATTTTTAAAGATTTCCAAAACAATACTTATAACTCTATTGTCAGAATTATAGATGTTTATTAAACCAGGGATTATGGGAGTCCCCCCCCCCAGCTATTCTACCTGCAGGGTGAAAATGCTGCATTTCATACACTGTCAATTTTAAGAGAATTAGGGAAATGACATTTTTATACTTTAAATAAATGTATTTTGAAGTAAATGATTACTTTAGACAGGACATTGCCTGCACATTGCCTGCTTCCTTATGTTGGGTATTCTAGACCACTCTTCTTACCCCATTGCTGAAGGGGAGCTACTTTCAGATGCACTATGTTAACAAAGAGAAAAAGCACAGTATTATACAAACACCAATACTAGGCAGTGTATTTTGGAGTGGTTTTAGTTTTACAGTTTATATTCTACAACTTAAACTCAGGGTCAAGTTTTAACAAAAGAGGCATTCAGTCATTAAATACCAAGATATTTTTATCTTACAGGGCCAAAGTAAATTATACCAGTTTCCACAAATCTAAACATGAGCTAAGATTTCCTAAGGAACACGTACCGACACTTAATAGAAATAAAATGTAACTCTGTGGTCAGCTTTTGGTTTGCGGAGAATGCCAGATGTCAATTTTGTTATGAAAGGATCATTTCTGCTTGCTGTGTGTTATGGACAACTGATGTGATAAATATAGGTTATATCCTTCTCTAAAATATGAATATGGTTGAATTTATATAGCACATGACATAGGGAAGAAACTTTATGAAACATACATGGTTAGCTAGTTTGAAGAGAAACATGGGCTGATGGCTAAGTTGTGTGCTACTAATTTGGCCTTAGCTGGTCTTACAACCACTGCTTTCAATTCTTTGTAAAATATATTTAAAATAGACTGTAGTGATGAGGGCTTTTACCTTCTTTTGTCTCTTGCATTCTTGGTACCCGCCTGAAGTTTTTCTTGAATACTTGCTTCTTTAGCACTTTGTAGTTAAAAAACCACTTTTAAATTACCATTGTCATTGCCTTGAAAGTTTCTTTTTTTGGGGGTTGGAAATAATGTAGTTATGTCTTTTCTCTGTATATAAGTAGTATAATTTGTTACTTTCAAATACTAGTACTTTGAATACAAAAGAATCTACAGAAACAGTAATGCAAGACTATTCCCTTGCGTACATTTCTGAGCCTAACCTTCCTAATTATGCTTATGTAAGCAACTGCCCAATTTTCTTTGTATTTCTTGAGAATGTATTTACTTGAAGAGAAAAACAATCCAGATATGTGTCTAAATATCATGCAGAAGCCAATGATTTTTAAATATCCTTGGATAATCCATAAAAGGAGTAATTCCAATGAAACAAGTGAGAGATGGTAGTATATTACGATAGCTAATTCTGTATTTTCAAAAAAAAAAGTAAAGTCCTCTTACCTTTTGTTTTTCTATAACAACCAGCTTTTGGTATTTCATTGTTACTGAGATCTATTTTTAAAATAAAATTTGTTCTCCATTTAAGTGGTGTTTGGTTTTACTTTGTTAAATGCAAGAGAAATTAACAGAAAAACATTAAGCTGACATTCTGCACAAGTGGCAGGAGCTGCTGAAACCCACCCCTGGTCCCTGGGGAGGGAGGCAGTAATGGACATAGAACCCGGGGCCTTCATACTGACATCCCAGCCCTTTGAGACAGGGTCTTGTTAAGTTGCCCAGGCTGGCTAAGATTTACAATCCTCCTGCCTCGGCATCTCTTAATTGAGTTTTTTCTTGAGCTCTGAGGTCCAAGTGGAACTCAGCACTCTACAATTTAACAGACCCAACGAAGTAACTGTGATGTACACCACAGTTTAAGAACCACTGGTCAAGGATTATCATGTGACCCTGCCACTGCCTTAAACTGGCTACAAATACATCAATATTTTTTCAGCTGCCTTTTTGTTCTTTATAACTAGATATAATTTATATATAAGATTAAAATTAAAAGGGTAACAGTACTCTTGTATAGAAGCACTGTGAAGTCAGATTGCTTGGGTTTAATTCTTGCTGTACTACTTATTAAGCTCTGTGATCTTCAGTTACTCTTTCCAATGTGTACTTCATAAGGTTCACTTAAACTACTTGAGAATTTAATGGCTCACAGTTCTGCAGAGTACGATGTTTAAGAGGCCAGCAGCTGGCAGGGGACTTGTACATCATCACATGGCAGAAGGGCAGAGAAAGAAAGAGGGAATGAACCTTGCCCCACAAGAACAGTGTTAGTCCATGAATAAGGGCAGAGCTCTCGTGACCTGAACACCTCTGAAGGTCCTGCCTCCCAATACAGATTTCAACAGGTGTTTTGAAAGGGTTAACAATTCAAGCCATAGCAGAAACTGTCAGGGATACAGTAAATATTTGTCTTAGTAATAAAGCTAGTGCTTTATTTCAAGGTGGAGGAAGGGAATCGTTTTAACAGTACCTTTCACTCAGTTCTTCATTCTCTATTTTCCTGTATCTTCATTTACCAACTTTAGGCTTGAATGTCTTGTTTTTGTCCATAAAGATTGTCTGTCCTGGGGGGAAAAACTCTCTTAGATTTTAGTTAATAGCTTTTTTATAAAAAATGTAAAGTATGTATCATACATGCCCCCCAACCTGCATTAAGTCAGAAGTATGCAGTAATGTTGGCTAGTGACATCACAAAAAAAGCAGGGTAGGAGATACCAGTTTTGTTCTCTTAAACACAAAATATATATATACATACATACATATATCCACAAATTTTAATAATCCTGGGAAAACTCAAGGGCCCATTTAAGAATCTGTAGCAACACAGTGGAGCAAAACAAAGCAATTGTCCACACAGAGGATTACTGGTGAGAGTATACCTGATGTACTAGGAGACAGCTAAAAACAAAATCAGAAAGTAGAGACTATCAGCCAACTGGGCTGTACCACTGAGATAACATCAGAGGAGCCCAGAGATGGGGAGGGGCCATAACCCTCACACCCATTGAAAAAGCCACCAGAACATTACTGTAGGACCACAGCCCCTACCTCTCCTAACCCTACATGTACCAAACACCCCAAACTGGCCTCTATGCAAGTGCCTATACTCCAAACCCACACTGTAAGGCCACACTCTCCCTACTGAGCCTGAGAGCCAGAAGCCCTTGCCACAGGTAGAGTCCCAGAGACAAGTCTGCATGTCCCCATGCCAGACACTAGTTCACCTTATGTACCCACACCTCAAAAAAATCAAAGGAGCTCACACCTGGTTGCCATGACCACGCTCAGAACACCAGCTCAGACACTACAAAGGCCTCACCTTGAACCTGTCCACTGTTGCTTCGTACACGCACATGCTCATGCACAGCTCCCTGGCTGCTTCATAAGCTTCATGCCACATAACATTATTATCAGTGAAGGTGCCTGTTCCTGGGAACCTAGGCCATTATGACCCTGGCCCCAGAGCCATGATCTTGACCACATATGCCCATGCTTCAGACTTTGGAGTCATAGCCCCTCCACAGGTGTCACTCATCAGACACTAGTGCCACTATCAACACAAATGGGCCTACAAGCTGAACCCAATGCCAAGAATTTCCTAGCCACAACTTCCCCAAAAAAGAAATCATGAAGATCCTAGTAGTCAAAACTACCAAAGACCCCAAAAGCCAACACGTAAGCATTGAGTTTTGAGGTTCCCAGCAGTACTTGTCAAAACTGACCTCAGTTGACAGAGTTGCACAGAAACCAGGCTGCTACACCCTGTCTAGTGGTAGAACCAGTGAGTCACACCCAGTCAATACCATTGTATTCCACATGGGAAAGTGTTTTGCCCCAAAACCAGCCTATAAAAAGTCTGCAAGAGGTGAGTGCTTCACCAAATACACAGAAACCAACATAAGGTTAATAAAAACCATTAAAAATCAAGAAGACTTGTATTGATTAGTTTTCACATCAGTAGACAAAATGTTCAAACCCACAATGTAGAGGAGGAGAGGTTTAATTTAGCTAACAGTTTCAGAGGTTTCAGTCTATTTCTGGCTATAAGGCAGCAACATGGTGGCGGAAGAGCATGAAGGGAAGATGTTTAGTTCATGGCAGCCAGGAAGCAGAGCAAAGGAAAAGCACCAGGGAGGAAGGGGCCGGGCAAGGTCACCCATGACCCACCCGAAAATGTGCTTTCCCAATACCCTAGGCAGCTTTCAAGCCAATCACACCAACCCAGCTTAACTGTCACAACACAGGCTCACCAAATAAACCAACAATTTCTCAATAGCTAACCCCAATGGATTGGTGATCATAGAACACCCATATTAATTTTTTAAGGCACCTTCCTACTATTTTCATAATGGCTATACTAATGTGTACTCCTCACTCTCACTGTGCAAATTTTTCCTTTACAGCTACGCCATTGTTCATCTCTGATAACCATTCTAAACAAGTACAAGATGGTATACCATTGTGGTTTTAATTTGCCTTTCTCTGTTAATCAGTTACACTGAGCATTTTTAAAATTTGTCTATTGGCCAGTTTGTTTTTTAAGGAAAACATGACAGTTCAAAATTATCATTTTAAGAAAAATCACCAAATGTCAAAATTCAAAATCAGGAAAACAAATGATGAGAAATTCTAACAAAGAAGCTGCAATTAAGATTATTGAACTAAAATACAATAAAAAGAATATATGTTAGCTTTACATTATGAAAAGAATAATTAAGATAAAATAAGGAGGAAAGGCTCCTTTTGCTCACAGTTTTGGTTCATCCATGGTTTTGTTGCTTTTGGACCTGTAATAAGACGATGAACTGTAGTATAACCATGTAATAGAAGGTGCTGCTCACCTATGAAAGTTATGAAGAAAGAAGACAGGAGGGGAGCACCAGGATCTCCTTCAAGGGTACACCCCCAATGACTGGACTTCCTCTCACTATGCCCCACCTCCCAAAGAGTCCTCCACCTTCCAAAAGCAACACAAGCTGAAGACCAAGCCTTTACTATGAGAGTCCCTTTGGGGGATACTTACCCAAAACCATAGTAGCATAACCACAAAACTATCCAGAATAACATATGAACTTGAAGAAAGATTGTTTGAAAATAGTTTTCCCTTTGTTCCAGCCCTGGTGCCAAAATCTGATCAAGCCCTTTATATAAATGGGCATTGTGCTACTATATAGCCTATATAATTGTCCTGTAGACTTCAAATCATCTCTAGATTACTTATAAAACCTGATACAATGAAAATGCTGCACAGTAGTTATGCCATATTTTTTACAATATAACAACATGACTAATACTATAACAATTGTTATAAACCATTTTTATTTTTCTCAAATATGTTCGGTCCACACATGTGGAACCTACAGATGTGAAGGCCAACTTACTGTATATATCATGGTAAGAAAAAGGGTAAAAAAGACACTCTACCAAATTCCTGAGAGCATTAAGGAAAAAAAATGAATTATGAGATTTAAAGAAAAAAAGCTTAAAGAAATACTAGCT